AGCACTTCAGTTGCTAAGTTAAGGGGAGGTTAATGTGTTGTTCGCTTTCCTGACCATGGTCTGCGATAGGTGGGGTACACTTGGCATCTTGGGAAATGATCAGCTTACTGAAAGTAAAATAGAAATTCCAGGCCCTTCCTTTTTTAGAGGGCCTGAGACGGATGTTTGTATAGAGAAGAAAGGAAGCAAAGTTCTGCTGAAGTTATACAGGACGCTTTTCAGAAAACGTGTTGAAAGCATTCTGACTGTATATTTTCCTTTGGAATGTTATCAGACTGTGGTGAAAACATCTCAAGTGCGAAGCTTTGCCATGGTACATTATCAGACAAGATTAACTCGCTGTATTTACATGCGTGTTATTGGGAGTCCCGTGCAATGAATGGGCTGGCTGTTGGTATGACTGTTGCAGCAAAAACAGCCTCTTTGTTGTAACTCATTTTCTTTCAGTACAGTAGAAGATGTGCCCCATCTCTGTCACTTCTCGGGAGGCACATGGAGTCTTGGGAGCTTTCTAGCTCCTGATGCGATTGTGCTGCAGCTGTCCATCTAAGCAGAAGTTGCAACTCCAAGCATGTGGCCTGCTCATGAGCAGAACTGGAGTGGTGGTTCATATAGTGAAGCATAATTTCCAAAGAGCAGGCCTGATGCCTGTTAGGTGTCAGACTTATGCCTAGCTGAACAAATGCTTCAGATTTCCGGGTGCTAGAAGTTACTAGGTGGCGTGGGTGGCCGGATATATGGCACCCTTAGTGAGGTCACAGTTCAAGTCACTGATGCCAGCCTTCCCCTGTCAGGTACCCTCCAGGTTGGATTATAATTCCCAACATCCCTGGCCATTGACCACTCTGGCATGGACTGACAAGATGAAGTTGAGGTTGAAAACACCTGGAAATCAGCAAGTTGGGGAAAACAGCCTAATGCCACCATAAATTGGCCTGTCGTTCATAGCCTCAGCAGTTTTAGCTGTTTTTTCTGCAATAGACTAACATAGTTACCCCCTGGAGGTTGGAATGAAAAATAGGTTTCACCAGCCGTAACCCTCTGGAATAAGCCAAATCCTCCATGGAAGCTGCAGCCCTATAGTTTCCTAAGTTCCTTTTAGTTCTGGTGGGACTTTAGTCTTATGCAAGTCTGCAGTCAATATAGTAATTTTCACTGACAGCCTGGAAAGGCGGATTGTGTCTGGTAGCAGATCTCTGGATGCTTTGCATGATCATCAGGGGCTTCTGGCTGCCAACTGGCATTGGTATCCACCCCCCTCAAATCACTATTCCATATATCCCTCTGGCCGGTGAACCTTTGGGATGAACTTGTGCAACATATGAAAGCTGCCTTGAGATTGTGGGCCCACCTAGCGCAGTGTCTGCTGGCTGTCAAGAGCTTTCCAAACTTTCTGGCGGGTCTCTCTCAGTGCCATGGCCTGGGGATTATTCCCTGAAGAGTTCTCTGTGCAGACTGTGGGCCCCACCTCTGAGCTGCTGGCCCGTCCCTTGTACTGGGGCTTTTAAAAAAATAGTGGTGATGAAATGGATCCCTCAGTCTCGCCTCTGGTAAACAGTAATCTCATTGCCTTGGCTTCAGGTTTCTTTTAAAAGTCTGATATGAAATTTTTATGAAAAAAATAAGTGTTTTGGTTTTGATTGCTGTTTCTGTTAATAAGCAAAGTGTTACTCCTCCTCTTTAGTTTTCATCCCTACAGCTTAGCTTGGGCTGAAGAGGAAGAAGCAACAAAAATAGAATACTCCAGGGGGTTGTTTTAACAAACACTCGGTGAATTAAAGAAATCCTTCCATTGGCAACGTGAACCAGGATCCCGCACATCCCCTGTACTACAGAGAGAGTGCTGATTCATCATTCCCCCTACAGTCCTTCACACTGACCCATGCTGTTTTAGAGTTCCCCTAACCATCCACAGCAGATTTTCAGGGGCCAAGAGGGCTGCAGGAGGAATCTGTAAAAATGCTAAATTACTCCCTCCCATACCTACCTACCTACCTACCTACCTACCTCTCTCTCTCTCTCTCTCTCTCTCTCTCTCTCTCTCTCTCTCTCTCTCTCTCTCTCAGAATCATCTAGTGGAGGTCTGGTTCTTCTCATTACAACTGGAACAACATAAACAAATAGCTGCAGATGCCCTTGCAGGGCAAACTGTTAATTAGGGAGGGGGCAATTCCAAATGTTCTTTCAATGAGGTTTAGTGCAGGAGGCGGGGGTGATTGGAGCTAATGGTGCCTGGGTCTCTTTGCTGCTGTGTTTTGTTTGGAATGTGCTTAGGAGGAATCCTCTGCTTCTGCAGCTTACGATTTCCCGACAGGCTCCTGCCTGCCATATGGTGCGGACGCAAAGTGTGCAGCAGCTGCATTGTTAAAAGCAGGCACTTAGTTTGCTCTCACTGAAGTGGAAGGATTTTTTCATACTTCAGTAGGCCTGAATATTGTCTGCCTTGGAAGGTGGCAGTGGATCTTTGCAGTGTGGTAGAGCTTGCTCTTGCCCTTGGTGCTGCTCAGAGTTTTATTTAGTTACAGAAACATATACTGCCTCTCTGCCCCCGTAAAGGGACACACAAGGCTGTTCACAAGAATAAGAGATAATTCTGAGCCAATAAGATTATTGCAATAGATAAAAACTACTATAAAAACAATTTTAAAAAGAAGCAACCAGTAAAGTTAACACCCATGAAAAGTCCAGGAAAAATAACATCTTTGTTGCCCACCTGAAAAAATAAACTAGTAATCAGCAGGTTTAGAATGTGTGGTGGGCAATTTTGTGCTCTCCCTGCAAAATGCATGCACCTCTACGCCATTTGAAAAATAAGCACCCTTAAAATAATTTTAAAGGCATCTGTGGAGTGCCAGAAAGCTTAACCTTTCCTTGAGGCAAGAGTTTTGTGTTGACTGGGAAGCAGAGTCGGTAGCACTCTGGAGCCCCAGGTGACCCCTCTCAGTGCTTTCATGCCGATGCCACGTAGCAAGAGGCTAAGGCAGAGCCTGGAGGAATCCTTTAGGGCAAGTAGCTGACCTGCGTGGCCCAGTGCCTTCCAGGCCCCTTCCCCTACTAGAAGCTGCTGCACGGGCCTTCCAGATCAGCAGGAGGCACATACCATGCCTGGCTTCCAGCAGTAGTCATCCACCAAGAGGATCGGGTCCACTTGATTCAACCAAAGAGTCTGAACTCTGCTGGGAAAGGACAGGAATGCCTGGAGCCAAGTAGTCACCCTTCGCTCTGACAACTGACTCAAAAAGGAGGGGGCAAATTAGAGAATGTCTAATAAATAGCCAGTTTGGTGGATCCAAGTGATGGCTTTTAAAGTCACATTCTTGTTGTTGTGTCCTTTGAAGACACACAAACATAGCTACACACACCCTGGGGAGGGGGTATTTAAAACATTCTGCTGTTCATGTGGCCAGTGTGGACATGAATCTAAGAAGCAGGTGTTTGGCCTCGATCCGCCAAACATGATGGCACATCCTCAGGCAAAGCAAGTTGAGACCAATCTAACAAAATAGGACAAGCATCTTTCTCAGTGATTATGGCAGATAACTCCTCCCAGGGTGGAAGTCTCAGGCCAGAACGCATATGAGGAGAGTAGTAGTAAAACATTTTGCAAACTAGTAGCTGACTGGGAAGAAGAAGTTTCTACATGCAAGAGAGCCGCAATAGAGAGATTAAGGGCACACTGGGGAGGAATTACGTGTTATGTTGACATGTGGAGGAATAAGCTGGAGAGTGACTTCCCTGGCACCCTTTGTGATTTCTCTGCCAGGGTGCATATTGTGCAATGGAGATGCTCTGCACACAAATGCAGAAAACATGGAGCATAGATCTCTGTGCCAGAGGGGTGGGGCACAAGAAGTTAACTACCCCTTGGGTCAGGGAGGGCCAACCTGCCATTGTGCAGGTGTTTTGGACTGCAGCTCCCATAATTGCTGACCACTAACTATGCAGACCGGGGTTGATGGTGTCCTCAAACCTCTAGAAGGCCTCAGCTTCCTCATTTGTTCCTGCCCTGCAGTATCCTGCCTGTGGGCAACATCCTGCCTCCGTTCCGTTGGTATAGCAGCTCCAACAATTTGTGGTTGTTGCGTTCCTGTGATCGCATAGTAGCGGTGGTGCTGAAATTACGCTGTCAGGTTACCATGCACTTGAGATTCTAGCTCCCATGGAATCTATCTAGAGAATTAAGGAGGTGTTCTTGGAAGAATACACATAAAGCCCTCTGTGGATCAAGGCCTCAGCTGGGAATGGATCAGACACACCTTTTGTCAAGATGTTTGAACACTGCAGCAGTTGTGAAATTTTCCTTGGCAGTTTGAAAAATAAGGCATATAAGCAGTCGCCTGCTGGCAAATAGTGGATAGCTTGCTGGACGACTTTCCTGGAAGCAGTTCAGTTCCCAAGGCTCAGAGTGTTTCTGAAGCAATTTTGAGGAAATGATCTGCTTGCCAGAATGGCTTTCCAGAGCCTATGTGGCCTAATGAATAGACAGATCATAATAGACACACCATTTTTCTTAGTGACATTGGCAAAGTTCTACTTCCGTTGTCCTTAAAAAAAAAAAAAAAAAAGACAGCCCACCCCCTACTACCCCAAAAAATACCTACATGACATGGAGGGTGGGAAAATAAGAACTATTAAGAACTCTCCAATTAAGAAATCTTAAATGCCTTTTCAAGCAGTGGTATATTGAGATGATCAGGTTCTAGCGAAATACCTTTTTGAGATCCCATACTGTATGAGTAATAAAATAAAAATTTATTCTCCTAAATATGTTACTGCTTCTACAGGCTTAGAAATGGATTCATAGTGTAAGTCAACGTGAAGAAGGAGTTCTCAGTTGGTAACAGCCTCTGGACCTACAAAGCCTGCGGCTGACTTAGTTGTCTCTTGAAAGGCGTATTCGGATAGTCTTAGTTAGTTTTAAATAGGTTGTGTCTCTCAAATTTAAAGAGGTTTTTGTTTCAACAGAACAGATACTAACTGGTATGTTCATTGATTTGCAGAAAACTATTTGTGGGTGGCCTAGACTGGAGCACTACACAAGGTAAGCATCTCCTGAATTGTTGAAGAACTTGTTACTTAAAAAAAGACATGCTTAGGATCCAAATCATACTATAAGATTTCAGCCTGCTGCTACCTCAGTCCTGGCTCTGCATTCCAACTGACTTGGAGAGGCCTCTGTTCCAATCAGGTGTGGCGTCCCAGGGGTTTGGGTAGCCGAAATGTCATTCCCAGACTTCTAATAGTTCTGCAGGATTGGTGGCAAGTATGGAAAGTGACGGGATGAGTGGTAGGCTGGTGGTTGATGAATTAGAGCAGGACTTCTCAAGAGATTTTATCAAGAGCCCCTCTAAATATAAAATGCCTTTTTTGTTCATTGGCCCACTTGCGTTCATCACAAAGCTATCCATTTCTTCACCTTACGAGTTTGTCCAGAAAAGAGTTGCACTGCTTTGGTAAGCATTGAATGGCTGGAAATCCATTTCAAGGTAAACAGTACTTTATACCTTTGCTTTGGTCGCAGTAAAAAGTGCTGGCCATCTTGGGGAGCGCGTGATGCAGCAAGCCCACCTCTGACGCCCACCTTTGCCTGTTTTCTGACAAATTGTTCTCAACGAAGTGTATGTTTTGTTCAACAGAAACGCTCCGTAGCTACTTTTCACAATATGGGGAAGTTGTCGACTGTGTGATAATGAAAGATAAGACGACAAATCAGTCACGAGGATTTGGATTTGTTAAGTTCAAAGATCCCAACTGTGTGGGGACAGTCCTTGCCAGCAGACCCCATACACTGGATGGCCGAAATGTAAGTTTTTGTAAATTTTTCCCAGTCTGGGGCAGGGGGGGGGGGTAAAGGGAGAGAATGTGGTGGCATTCTTTCAGTAACCAAGTTCAAGAAATGGTGCATAGCTGATGAAGGAAATACTTCCGTTCAGTGACTGTTTCTTCCAGAAGTGACTGTCCTTGAGGCAGGGTCTTAAAAGGACTGGGCTTTTAGGGAAGTTTGGGCTGGGCTCCCCTTCCTTGAAGTTCTCCTTTCAAGATCAAAAGGGGAGCTGCCTGGAGAAAGTGAGAAGCCCCCATATGGTGACCATGAGACCTCCTGGTCCTCTTCCTAGTTTTGTGAAATCTGACTTTTCTGTTTGGCATTCCCCCACCTGCCTCTCAGTCTCTTTCTAGTGTGGCACTATATATTAGCATTGCAGCTCTTCTGTTTCTTTGTGAACCACTTCAGGATTTGCAGAAATGAGAATTGGTACAGAAAAACTGCTGATGCCACCAGTAAAAAGTAAATTAATTGCCACCGCTGCTCAAGAATGCTTAGCAAACCTTGGGATAAGCACCGTAGCTCTGTAGACCTTTTGTCTAAGAAGCACACTTGGTTATGGACAAATGACTGCTGGCTTATAAGATGGAACCGTGACTGAAATGTTGCACCCTTGTAGCTGCACCCTCCTCCCCAGTGCTAGCAGACTGCAGACACCCGTCCTGGCTGCCCCCTGAGAGCCCCCATTGGAGGCGCTGCTGCCTCTCAAAGCTGAGCGCCAGTTCTCCCAATTTACCAGAGCGCCCCTGTTGGGGGCCTCCAGAACCTCCTCCTCGCCCTAAGCGAGTGGTCTCTTGCGTACTTCAATAACTAGCTAGGCCTTTGGACTGGCAGGCGAGGGCTTGCTTTAATTTGGGCTCCCTCTGCTCTCAGCGTGTGCTCCAGCTTTCTCTGGGAGGAAAGTTGCCTGCAGGAGCACAGCGGCGCTTGGCTGGGTGTCTTGATCCGACGACTGTTGTTCCAGCTGGTTTGTCAGGGTGTCTTAATACAACCCCTGAGTGAGCCCGGAAGAGCAGCAGTGGGCGTGACCAGCACTCATCAGCTTGCTCACCGAATGCTGGCACAGAGCAAAGCCAACCTTTTTATTTATTTTATTTATTTAATTTATTTAGAAAATGTCTATGCCGCCCCATTCGCCGAAGCCTTGGGGCGGCTTACAAACTTTTTGCACTGCGGTTTGCCATGTCTCTGGTTTCACACTCACTCTTGTTTGACAGATTGACCCAAAGCCCTGTACCCCTCGAGGGATGCAGCCGGAGAGAACACGACCAAAGGAGGGATGGGTAAGGGAGCCACTTCCCATCACTTTGCATCCCGGCCTCACTTGGGGCTGCTGCTTTTCCTGTCCAAATCGCAAGGAGCTCTGTTACCCCACAGGAAGCAGATGGTGAATTTCAAGTACCCTGGCAGAAAACGGATGGCACTCTCGGGAGTAATCCTGGTTTGCCAGATGTTAGAAAATGGCTGCACTTCCTATGTAAGTTGTCAGGTTTTCAGCCAGTTGCCACGTTCCGGCTCTAAGGGAGGGGTTGCCTTCAAGCTTGACATCCTCATACCAGCATACCGTCTTTCAAAGATCCAGAGGAGCTCTGGGCCAGCTCTTTCACTTGGAAGGCATGTGATACGTCCTGCCAATGAAAATGTATGATTGGTGCTGACACCGTTTACAAGCTTCCTGCAGGGATTGGCCTAATGCAAAGTAGAGAAATAGGCATTAAAATTATGGTTGGAAAAGCTGTAAAATGGTGTAACCACAAATGTGACAGCCAGAGTAAGAGTAAAAGAAAAAATCAGCTAACTAGCCCAGGCTGGGAGCGACACTGGTTGTGAAAGGCCTTGTGGGGTAAAAGTGACTGCCGGTCCTCCTTTTCACTTTTATAGTTGAGAGACCTGGTGGGCTTCCCTTGGGACACACTTCCAAATCTGGAGCTGTCTTCCTGAATCACCCCAGGAGAGGCAACCCGTTCTTTTGTTTTGTGAAATAAACTGTGTCCTAAGGGGGCGGAGAGGTTTTTGTGAGAGAAGCGGCTCCTGTTTTAAGTTGAGGTGGGCCTGGCTCAGGCTTTGGAGTGCTTAAGCGTAGCATGGAGCCCACCAGGTGCTAGCTAGTGCAGGGGTTGGAGTCAGCTCCTCTGGAGGGTCCCAGGTTGGAAAGTCTGGCTCAAAACTATTAAGTTTGAGGCTTTTCAGAACTTTATATGTGAATCATCCTTTTTGGAGTGCAGTTTGCTGCTTGTCTTCCATCTCTGCCCAGACTGCCTTGGTACTCCTTTTGCTGTTCCGAGCAGGCCTCCGCTGCAAGCACCATCCCTTCTCCCACCCCCTTGTTGTACTTGCTGTTGTTCTGTATCAAATACCTTCCCTCCCTCTTTCCCCCCTCTCTTTCAAGCCCCGTCTTCAACTTCCCGTCATACTTTTCCTGGGTCTTCCTTGTGACGCTGCCTTCCCTCATCATCAGCCTTTGCAATCAGTCCTTTCCCTGTCACCTTTGCCCTGTGTGTGGTGCATGACCAGCGCTGATTGCCCTTGAGCTGCCTTGCAGAATGCAGCAGCCGAAGATAATGTTGCTTTGAACAGCAAATCCCAGCCTCAGTACAACTGCCTGTTCCATTTGTCTTGGCAGAAAGGATCCAAGAGTGATAACAAATCCAATAAAATTTTTGTCGGTGGGATTCCTCACAACTGTGGCGAGACGGAGCTCAGGGAATACTTCAAAAAGTTTGGAGTGGTGAGTTACTGTTATGACCTGCATCATTTTCTGGAAAGAGGTTTCCTTCCTTATCTCCTGATTGAGAAAAGAGTGCACTTACTTGGGTCTCTTTTATTTGTATACTGCCAGAGACACACACCTGTGCACACAGAGCATTTCTGAAACTACCAAAACCCCTGGACTCTGACATGCGCATTCTGAGTCCCTGGTTTTACCTCTTCTGAAAGAACCTGTCTCGATTTTGCTGAACAGAGAAAACTTTAGCACATTTCTGGCCTGGATGTGGCTTGACCTATTTGTGCTTTGGTGTAGAATAAGTGCTTTGCCAAAGGCTGGGTTCACAAGTCACATGGCTGAAATATGCCAGGGGAGACCAGCCTGTGATTCTGTGTTGGGAGGCCCAGTGGCCTTCTGCCTCCATGCCTCTCCTCCTTTTGTGGGGGGGAGGGCATTTCATTAACTTTATTCAATTTTATTTTTATTTTTTTACTACTAAGAAAATAGAATTAACACAATAACAAGTTTGACTAAACATCACTGATCAAACAACACATTGACATCAACACTACCTCTTAATCTTACTGCTGTTAATAAATTCATAATCAATTCTTTTGTATTTATTCCCATCTGTTCTCTAAATAATAGCAACCATGCTAATCCAGGGTCAACTTCAATATTTAAATTCAATATTTTACCAAATTCTTTAAAGATTCTTTCTCAAAACTCATTTATATATTTACACTTTCACCACATATCGAAATATGTACCCACTTCTTGGTTGCATCTCCAACACATGTTGTAATATGTGTTATTCATGTAATTCAGTTTAACTGGAATATTAAGTAACATTTCCAAACCAGTTTATAAAAAGTCCCTTTAATTCTTATTGACATAAATTTTAAAATTTTCTTATTCCTGCATGCCTAGCAGCTGTTCCTTCTTTTTGTTTTCAGCACGGAGCCTCAAGTAGCAAGCTAGTGCTTCCAGTGCCTGGATAGTTCTAAAAAGTATATTTTATGTAATCCTCCTTTCCCCCAAGTTTGGCTTAAAAAAGGGAAAAAAGCAGCCTATTGCCATCAATATTCACTGCAAGGTGATAAGATAGCAGGAACAACATGTGGGACTGGGTGTTTGGAAGTCTGTCCTTGCCTTGGGCGGTAGATGACATTGTGTAGGTTCCTCCAGGAAAAGGGAGCTGGCTAAGAGACAGAGAGAAAGATCGCTAGCCCACAGAAGCAGCTCTTCCACTTAAAAATTTTGTGAAGGTACAATTTGCTTTCATTGAACATTCAGCTCTCTCTTGGGATTGGCCCGGATTATTTCTCAACAGGGCTTCACTCTTCCCGTGGCCCTCTTTCTCTCCTTCCTCCCCAGAGCTGGCAATCAGTCATGTTCAGGCAACGTAATTTCTCCTCTTACACAAGGGTGGGGAGCCCCAAGCATGGAGGCCAAATCTCCCTCTCCCTTTTCCCCTCAGCCACTGGGGACTTGCTGGTTTCATCGCTTTTCTTTGTCTCCGACCCCATTCAGAAAGTTTGAGATGCCCTTTCTAAGATTTGGTCACGGTCAGTAAGAGCTTCTGGCTCAACTGGACTAGTAACTTTTGCTCCTGGCTCTTATCCCCTTTCTCCCGCGGCTGTGCCAACAACTGGGCTGCAACGATCCCAGAAGCGCCGCTGGCCTGTGTGGCGTAAGAGGGTCTCCACCCTGTTTGTGTGCGTAAGATCCTTGGGGCTGGTGTGTGCAGCAGCCTGCCTCAGCCTGGCCCCTCCGTGCTGCAGCCCCCATTGCCACTGATCATAGGCCATACTTGCTGGGGCTGATAGGAGCTGAGTTAGAAACACCTGGAGGGACCCTGGCTTGGGAAGGCTGGTGTACAGAGATAAAAGCAGGGCAGCTCTTATCCCCTGGATGGCCTCTGCACCAGGCACCAGGTCCCCTCTAGGGTTTTTTTTTTTTAAAGTGTATATCATGGCTGCAAGCCCCGAGAGTGGATTTTCCAAATCCAGCTAAGCCTGTTCGCTTGTGTGGCTGAATGCAAAGGCAGGAGTGTTGTTCATGCGTACACACAGCACGTGGCACAGGTTTCCTGCAGCGCTTTCCTCAGCTTTAGGCTTCTGTAGCTTCCCAGTTCCAAACTTTCAGTGAATCCCCTAGTAAGAGCTGCTAACCGAGGCCCATGGTTTCCCCAAGCGACACAAAAGGACAGAATTTAGGGGAACAGGTTTTAACGCAATGACCTGCACCATCCTGAGAGCAGGCGCAGAATCGCTTCTTGCAGTACGTGCTCTCTGTGCTTCTGCATCAGACCCCCGTGCTCCCCACATGTTAGTGTGGAACCCCATAAAGCATGGCAGCATGCATACGTTCTGCTTACTTGACTGTGCGTCTGTTTTGCCATACAGACTAGCAGCTTGCTTTTTAAAACTGAAACTGCTTGAGAGATTCGAAGGTAATCCTTGACCAAGCGGCAGGTTGAAACGTGACGATCGAGAGAGTGTGCATGGGCGGGTGGGCTATTTGCAGCTCTCACCCATCATCTGTCTGGAACCATGCATAGCTTCAGCCACCAGCAGCCTCGCTACTTTTCAGCAGACTGCTTGCCTACCCCTTTCTGGGAACTTCCTGGCAGCTGAGGAGAGGGGAGTCTCTCTTGGCTGCGCATAAGGCAAGTGCAAACCTCTCCACAAACTAGCAGATAAAGGTGCCGATGGGCAAACCATTTCTTTCAGCCTGCTGAGACAAAATTGCTTCCCTTGGTTCAGTTCTTGCTTTTATTGTTAAATTGTATTTGTTCAGTTTGGTAAATGGATGGAGTTATTCTGAGATTTGCTCTTTCCGTGGGAGTCCTGGCTTTTCATCAAATCATATCATATTCATATCCTGCCTTTTTTCCAGGAAGCCCAGGGCAGCTTACATAATCCTCCTTCTCTTTATTCTGATAAAAATAGTTCTACAGGGAAGGCTGATCTGAGATTGAGTGACTGGCCTGAAGTCCCCCGTGAGCTAGAGCCCGGATCCTCAGAATCCCAGTTCACCACTAATGGCTGCGAATGTCCCATTTCATTACACAGACCCCCTCTGGTCTGCAGAAGACTCCCTGGGGTGAAATTGGTGGCGTTTGGGGTCAAATGCCACCTGGAGGCTTTGAGTGGTGCCGGCACTGCAGCTCTTCCCCATTCCGCTGGCCGTGCCTTGCTCAAGCAGCACGGCCTCGGGTTTCTTAGGCGAGGGGTTGCCTCTGGGAGGCGGGATGGAGAAGCTGTGGCATCCACGGTCCTCCCACAGCAGGGGCAGGCCAGGAGAGGAGTGAGGCGTTCTTCGTCACAGAAGCTCTGCAGGGCAGGAGGCAGAGCCGAGCACGCCTTTGCTGCAGCGCCTTGCCCCTCCTGGCCTCGGGGGCCATCAATAAATTGACAGGGAGGGCTGCACTGTTCACTGGCTGAGACCGAGGGGCTCTTCTCTAGAGCAGGGCGGAATACTGTGAGCTCCCCTTGGCCCTTTGGACAGTTGCCCCGCAGTCCTGCTGCAGGGGCCCTCCCCCTCCCCCTCCCTTCTTATATGCACTCCCCCCTTCTGCACCACCACCAAGGCAAGTGAAGTTTTCCCTTTGTTTAGTTAATTGCATACTGGGGAGGAAGCCTCGAGGCCTCCTCTCCCCCTCTACCCCCCATGGCCTTCTGCCTGGTCCATCGCATTTCTCAAGACTATTTGCATGAGCTTGGCGGTGCCGCCTGGGAGAAAAGAGCCTGCTTCCTTCCTCCCCCCCCCCCCCGCCCTTTGCACTGTGCCTTGGAAGGAAGATTTGGGTACGGGCGGTGAGAATTCCTGCATTCTGTCCTTGAGCTTTTGCCCTGCAGTGGCAAGGGGGCCAGGTGAAATACTCAGAATAAGAGTTGTCCTCAAAATCGCCCCCAGGCTCTGATTCCCGGGGCTTAGTGACACATTCGGGGACCAGCAAAATCGATTCAGAGGTGGTCAATCTGGGGATGTGAGCGCTGAATCAGCAAGCTGCTGTCTTTGTGGACCAGGAGTCCCGAGGCTCCTCTTCAGTGCCCATTGCACACAGCTTGGGGAACTTGTTAGTTTCCTCTCTGCAGGGGACTCTGCCTCCTTATCCACTTTTGATAAACTTGCCATTCCTCATACCACCTCATCTCAGGGTGGAAAAGTGTTTGCTCAGGCATCTTTATCTCATTGGGAGGGCTCTTAACTCTCTTTCAGCTCATCATAGCTTCTGGATTTCTCCTGGAATTTGCAGGTAAATCAGAAGTGAGTAGGGGGTAGTCGTGGGGCGGCTGGCACCTCAGGGAGTGATACTGATTTGAATGGTTCCTAAAGAAAACATGCCCAGGGTTCCTTGTTTGTTCCTCGGGCTGCACTGCCAGTCCCTCGCTCCCCAGAGCCACCTGCTTTCCTCCCCTTCCCTACGATGTTTTTCCGCTTCTTCAGCACTGAGTTTTGGCATTTTCATCCTCAGCTGCCTGTTGTTGCTTTTTTAATTATGGTACCTCAGTCTGTTTACACCTTGTGCAAGCAAGGGCAGAAGGTGATCTTCCACACGAGTGTACATCTGCTAGAAAATAGTACGGATGAACCAGCGCTTTCACTTACAAGGATTCATCAGCCCTGCTCCCTGGCAGAAATATATCTGTGAACCACTTGGTTCCATGGTACATTTGCCTTGTGGTTGCAGCCTGCTGCTGTTTGTTGACCCTTGCCTGATGGCACTGTTAGTAGAATGTCCCCTTCTCTTTTCCAGGTCACCGAAGTGGTAATGATCTATGATGCAGAGAAACAGCGGCCCCGAGGTAAAGGAGTATCTAGTTCGTCCTTCAATTTCTTTATCCTCTCCCTATGTCAGATGGCAAACTTTCACAACATCATCCCCTGCCCCCAAATATATATTTCTATTTCTTTTGTACATTGCATCAGGAAACTATTTCACTGAACAGACTACTCCATGTAGACTTTTCATGCAGTTTGCAATGTCATCCAATGTGTTGCTGCTTTTTGAAGTCATGTCCATCACTGTTCCCTCCACCCCTCTGAAAAGGTGCTTTCCTTAACAAAAACACGACCTCTGAATTGAGCAGCCTCTTGAAAATAAGGAAAGGAAAAGGAGCCAGAGGAGGTAACTAACAAGCTGAAAGGTTCTTCCCTCCCTTCCTTTTATAAGTTAAGGTACCATTAAAATGCAGCAGCCTGTTTTTCAGGCTTGGAATTATCACTAGCTGCCAAATTCAAACAGATGTTCTACTTTATGCATTGTGTCCCTCTCTCCTTATTTTATATTTTTGGTCATGAAGTATCTGCAGCTGAAATGTGTGACCAGAATCCATGTTTGTAAATTGCTGCTTGAAACATTTTTGGATGAGTGTCTAGCCCCCAGTTAACGCTAAGAGTGCAGCATTTATATCCCAGAGAGCAAGAGAGCGCCTGCATCACCTTGCTGGATAGGTTTGGAAAAACTTGCCTTCTCACCATGAGTCCCAAAAGAAAGCCCTTCATTGCATCCCATCACCCTTCAGTTGGCTCTTAGGGGCAGCATTTTAAAACTGTCACAAATGTGAGTTATCCCCAAAGACTCTGCAGCATGTGAAACATGCTAGAAAATAGTTTGCCATCTGGACTTTCTATTCCTCCTCTTCCTTGACTTCATTATTTAAAGAAATATATAAATTCTTCATTTCATATTTATTAAGCTGTTAAGTCTTAGTTTTTATTTTAATTTAGACATACATCCTTAGTGGCATATTTAAGTGTTTCATAGTAAAAGTACAGTAAATGTTAAGTTCTTTCTTTCTCCCTCCTTTTTCTCTCTCTGTGAACTGTTTGTGATTAATATCTCTTTAGATTTCTTTTCCCTAGGTGGTAGATTATCACAGAGGTACAGGCCATTTCCACAAACGGAGGAGGGATCGGGCTTTGCCCTTATTGGAGTGCAAATGAAGTTTTCAGTATCTGGTCTGGGAGGGTTGCTCTTAGTTGGGTGCCTTCGTTTTGCAACAGCTTTGCACTGTTTCAACAGAAAAATCCATGGACACAGCAAAGAGCAGCAGCATCTTGTGTGTGCCTGCGAGGTTTTTATGCCTAGAGGAGGCAAGAGAACTCTCCCCCGTATTCTGCACCATCTGCCCCACTCTTGCGCCCTCAGTCAGCAAGACACAGCCTGTTGGGCCTTCTGATCCACCCCCTGATAAAGGAGGACATGCAGATAATTTTTTCCTCCAGACCCTTAAGCCACCGAACGATTTCATTCCCTCCTTCGAGGGTCTTGTCTTAAGGCCCTCCTTGCCACGCAGTGCAGCTTTCAGGCTGCCAGCAGGCGTGACAGTTCTCGGTAGTCTGTCGCACGTGGTCCTGGGACGACTTGAGGGGGAGGAGGGGAAGCGTGCCAGCAGCAGCTGCAGTTGTGCCCCCACACAGCGGCCTGCAGTGTTGGGCCAGCTGAGCAGGACCCCTCGGCTACGCTGTGGCGAGAAATGGTCCGGTTATGGCACGTGGCATGGAGCACCGCATGCCTCGCACCGCGTGTGCCCAGCCCCTGGCCCGCAGGATCCACAGTTCCCATTAGCATCCAGGGCTGCTAACTCTTCACTGAATGCTGTAACTGTACGCTTTATTGCAGCTGCATTATGCAAAGCAGATCCTGGCTAAGGGGCAAAGGGCAGGCTGTTTCCCTCTCTTTTATAACCTGCCAAGCTTGCCCAGCAGCTGCAGCCCTTCCCTGAATGCTGGGGAAAGCACGCACTGCTCCCAAGTCAGGCTCTTGCGCCTTCCTTTCCTGCTTGGGAAGTTGTTCTCTTTTGTGCCCATGCACAGGTGTCTTGCCAGGCTCGCACCCTGTTGAATTCCAAGACCCCCAAGAGCTTGGAATTCCTTCCCAGCCCCCACTTCCCCCACAGCCGGGTCGCACCAAGCGTGGGCGTGGGAGGACGGCGGGGGTCGCTGTGGCAGCACTGCCTTTTCCCCTGGCACTCTTGTAGCTCACCTCCATGGCGGGGCTCTTCTTAAAGCTATTGTGTATGTTGGGCATCTTTTGCTGTAATTTCATCTCTGAAGATGGCTCAGTGCTCAGGTGGGGAAAAGAGGCGCAGGTGGACTGGACCACTTGGAAATCTCGGCTGATGGGAGGCATGTCCCGGGTAAAGACAGCCACACAGCCAAGAGAGCAGCAAGACATGCCCTCAGCACTGCAAGAAACAAGAAGGTCAAGAACACGTAACCTTTTTATTGTATCCAGAATGCAGCTGGGTCTGCATAGCTGCAAAATGCAAAATTTGTTCCAGTCCAGGCGCTCCCTGCGTCTCCGGGCTCATGGAGGAGCGAGAGCAGGCGGCCATCTGCCGAGAGCCTTGCTTTGTTTCTTGCATAGGTCTCAAACTTGCATAGCTGCTTTTTGCAGAACTCTCAAAGCAGTGAGCATAAACAGTGTTAGAATAGTGATGAAGCAGAAGAGTAAATCACCCCGGGGCAAATTTAGTCAGCAGTGGGACCCAGCCCTCCGCGATGCCCTGTGGTGCTGTGTGGTTCACCCTTCAGGGAAGGCTTTTTAGGTGGTGGGTGGGGGGGGGGCTTCTAAAAAGGCACCTGAGCATCGCAAGCATGCTGTGTTTAATCTCAGTAGGCGAGTGTGGCCACGCGCTCATCCAGCCACTGCCGAAGTTCCGGTTGCGGCTCAGCTTTCAGAGCTGTCCTGTGTGACCTTGGGAGGCTTTCGGCAGCCAGCCAAACGTTCCCAGGGCTGCTGTGAACATGCACATGGGAAAAGGCTGAAGCCCCTGGAAATTTTAGCATTTCTACCCTCCCTTTCTGGGACAGTCACTCAGCAGTGGCTCACAGTGTAATTATAAAACAAAATACAGCAACCACACAGCAATTGAGCATTAAAAACGAAAGGAAATACCCACCCCTACAAAGGTCAAAGGGCTCTGTGCGCTGCTGTTGGAAAGGCTGCCCAGAACTTTGGTGCCTGAGCGTTGAATCGCTCCCTTCCCCTCTAGAACAAGGCCAGGAGCAGGTAAGGAGCTAGAGGTCAAGCCAGGGAGAGCATGCCCTGTGTCCTGAGTGCAGGGGCTGTACTTGTAGCTGGGAGGCCTGCCTGCTGGTACCCCCGGGTGCCTGGACCGGAGCCCCCTCCCCACCCTGTGCCACTCCACTTTCGGCTCTGATGAATCCAGCTCTTTCTGTAGGACAAAAGCATGGCCTGTGAGCATCCAGAACTTGGGGAACGGCTGCTCGCATCAAGCCTGGGCAGGCTGCCGGGGGATGATGGGAACTGGAGCCCAGCATCTGAGTGGCTGTGGTTTTCCCAGCCAGCATCCTAGGGCCATTTCCAGGGTAAGTGCTGCGGCTCCAGGGCTGGGATCCCAGCCATCTCTTCCTCCTGGTGTCGGCCATCTTGCCCTATTTATGTGCACAGAGGGGGAATTCACCATTTTTCCACGCGTATTTATCTTGCAGTCCATTTCAGCACCTTCCAACTCAGCATTTACTTGGGACCACTGACTTCCCCTGTTCTTTTCACTTCCGTTCACAACCTGGAATAGGGAGAAACTCTCACACCTGCTCTTTACTTCTCACACCTCCCACAAAAACAGGCTGTCTCACTCCTGCTTCTGTGAAGAGTCCTTTGTTTAGGTTTTGGGATGTTTTGCCTTCTGGTGCCGCATTCTTTGTTTCCTCTCTAGAGCTGCCTTGCTTCCCCTTACTTTGCATGTTCCTCAAGCTTGGATAAACAACAAAGAAGAAAGTGTGTTTTTCTGTGTAGGTAACTCCCCTATAATCTCCCGCCCCAAGCTTAAATATTGCACATCTGAAAATCGTGTGCCACTTGGATACAGAGATGCTGGACATACCACTTCCCACTGGCTTCAGACTAAGGTTTTCTGGCAAAGAGGCTGCTGCATCACAGACTCAACCCGACTCCGTTTATGTTGCCGCTCTCTTGCGTGCAGGAGATGCTCTTAAAAGTTGCCCCAGTCCATTTTCCAAACCTTTAATTTGTCCGGTGCTCCCACTGCTGACGGCAGAATTTTGACCTGCTGCGATCTACCTTGGCCTGTATCTTTGTGTCTTTTTAAGTATGAATCTTCTCTACAAGGAGACTCCATGAGCTTACCCAACCCCGTTGGATAAGCTTAGAGAGACGCTGTTATAAAGACTGTATCTTTTTTTTCTGTTGAACGCTTTTGAGCCATAAATGGCTGCTGTTAGCACTAGCTGCAAAGCAAAATGAAACCAAGGGGAAAAGCTCGGGTTTCGGGGGCAGGGGAGACGAGCGCCCTGTCCCAAAAGGCCTTTGTTCTAGCACCATTTCCTCTTTCGCTGTGTGCTACTGCTCTGGTGCCTCTAACTTGATCAAACGAGTGCTTTCCAGCAGCATCTGCAGATCTGCGGTGCTGCTCTGACTTGCCTGGGGATAGTTCTTTGAGGTGAAACCATTTTGTGCAGGACTGAATTCAGGGCTGGTGTAGGTGTATTTTTGGGCACGGGTCCCAGCGCAAAAAGCAGATGTACCTGGGAAAGCTGGCCTGTGATAAGTTGCCCACCCGTCAAATCAACACCAGGAATAATAAGCTACAGCTCTTTGCGCTCCTTGTCCCAGGATACTTGCTGTGGGGAAGTTTGCACTGAACCCCACGAGTGACCCGAAGCCCCCGCTCGAACCCTTGGTCTGCCCCTAATACTGTTCATCATCCTGTTTTGTGTCACAACACCCTGCTACCTTGATTCACTCTTCGTCGTTGGCTAGGTTTTGGATTTATTACTTTCGAGGACGAACAATCAGTGGACCAGGCTGTCAACATGCATTTTCACGACATCATGGGCAAAAAAGTGTGTAGTTGTAGTTTTATTTTACCTTAAGACAAAACTGAGTCTTGGGGCAACTGGCAGTTTGGCTGGCGAATCAGAGCTGGTAGCTTTGGGGTGGGTGGCGGCAGCGGAAAGGGAATCCTTGGCTGAAGCAAAGTCGGAAGCTTATCTTGTTGTGCCAGCCCATTCCACCCTGAACGGAAAACACGCTTTTCCTTCCACATCTGCAGTCCAAAGGCTTCCTTGCTTGGGACGATTGATAATGGTGGAGAGAGCAACCAAAGTCTGAAAGAGAGCAACCAAGGTCTGGGTGTGATGATCTTGGTCTGGTCAGTCCTGTTTTACCACATACCAAGCCGGAGTATGGCACCTCTGCTCCACATGCCTGCGAAAGCCCAGTTTCCCCTTGCACCCGGGTTGGAAGCCTTGGCCTTGCAGTGCGAGTGAGCAACGGGGGCAGGCGGGGAGGCTGCACAGGAAGAAGGCTCATCCTCAGCCGCCTTCCGTCCGACTGTGAGGGTTGCGTCTGAACCGGGCCATGATCACCCACCGTGCCCCGTAATGTGTGGCACTTGGACGTGTCGGAGGCTGGTGCACGAGCCCTCCCAGAGCCCTCTTCAGAACTCCCATAGCTGGGTCAGTATCCAGTGAGGCCCCGAACCCAAGGAGGGTGAGACCACCGAGGCCAGTCTGCAGGCTGCGTGGGTCCAGTGGCGCGATGGTTGTAGGGCCGTGCCCAAGGGCCTTGCGCTCGTTTGGCTGCATTCATTCTCCCACACGTTCCCTTGCAGGCAGTAGGCCACGTTTACTGTTTGAAGCTGCTTCGTGTCTCAGGAGGACGTTCCCCACCCCAGAAGGGTCTTGTTTTGAGTGACCGGACGTCAGCCTTGAGGCAGTGGGGTGGGTGGTGATTTTGAAACGCCAGTGAAATTTCTGTGTTGCCGAAGGCTCAGTTTCCCATTACCACTCCTTCAGATGTGTGTCCGTGGAGGTTTTTTTTTGTGCTGGGCAGAGGGGGAGGGGGGGAGGGGGGAGGGGGGTGGCCATCCAGTGGCTCAATTTGAGAAAATACTGACAAAGCATCATGAAGGAATGGTTTAAACAAAAAAAAATTGGGTCACTTACTGTGAGACTTTGATACGAATCCACATATTATTTTATGTATAATAGCATTTTTTTAACCACGATGCAGTTAAGTGACCTTTTGGTTGTTGTCATCTTCATACTGTGTTGTCAGCACTTCCAAGAAGTTTTATGGGTGAACGGACTTTGCCTTTTCCCTCCTGATTTCAGCTGCTCCTCTGAATGCAGCTTCACCTTGGGAAACAAACCAAAGGAGTGGCTAAGTAGTTTCAGAGAGCAGCCTCCTTTGAATTCTCCCAGCTTCTGAGAAGGGCCAGTTGGAGGGTCAACAGGGATTTTGACATGAAACCTAAAGTGTTGGTAGCCTTCTGGCCCTGCTGGATGGCAGAAACATTGGTAAGGCATGGCAAAGCCATTGACCAAACCTCAAAGGTATTTCTACCTTTGCCTGCAGCAGTGCAGTAAGTGAAGGCTTGGCCCTTTCAGAAGTGGATGCTTAAATGTATTTTCTAAAATTCAGAACCAGCTGCAAGGCTGTGATTGCAGCTGCCAGGAGTAGTTGGCGCCATCTGAGATACCAGGTGACATTTATGTGTAGGCGAGAACTGTCAGCACAGGTTCTCTTTGGGCATTCAACCCACTGATTGCTGTTGGCACCAGTTCTGTGAATCCAGGCAAGCCCCTGTTGTGCTGGAGCACAGCCCGGCACAGGTTCAGGGCTTCTGGCCCAAGAGAACTGACTGCTCACGGGTGCAGTCCTGTTCATGTTTAGACAGGAAAGGTCCACATCTCCCGCTGTGCCCCAGCCAGCGATGCTGAGAGGAGTGGTGAGCCGGCCTTCCTCTGCTTAAGCATTCATGGGGCCACGTGCCTTCCTGGTCGGTGTCGCGAGTGCCACGCTGCCTTCCTGCGAAGGAGCCCTCCTTGGCCTCTGCCCCGCGGTGATGCTAAACCTCACCATGGGCCAGGTGAAGGCTTGCAGCAGTGTCTGCGCTGCCAGTGTTGCAGGAGTGCCGGCAGAAGCACATCCCCCATTTGGGGACAGGTGTCGAAACGCCACGTTGCTGCTGCTGATCGTCCCCAGTGCAAAGTGCCATCATCACCGGGACGCGCCGCTCTCTGACACAGGAAGATTTCCAAGCCTTCCCAGTGCTGCCACCCCCTGGGAATCTTCCAGAGCCAGTTGTGTGTCACTGCAGTCTTGGAGTGATTGGGAAACCATTGCAAAAGCTAGTCTCCCTCCCTGCTTGCCTTTTAAGCAGCAACAGGGTTGTTGCAGGGGGGCGTCGGTGTGGGAAGAAGTCCCCCTGTCTCTAGCATCAGCCCCACTGAGCATCTGGATAGGCTCAAGAAGGAGCACATTGGGGTCGGCGTGGGGAGACCCAGGACCTTGCTGTTCGCATCAACTCGGGCAGCCTTGCAGGAGCATATTTAGTGTGGAAGATGCGAAGAAGGTGCTTTGCTTCATCTCACTTCCGCCGGTCTTTCCTCTGGAGAGCTCGCCCAGGGTGTGGAGCGTTCCCAGGGGGTCTCCCGTCTGGGCAGTGATCGCGGCAGGGCCTGTTTGGGGGCTGCGCGGCTGCTGCCCTGCAGCCTTCGGGCAGGCCTGGGGCACCTTGGAGGGGAGACCCCTGGGCTGCAGTGTAGCTGAACAGAACCAGCCTGACTCAACACAGTATGAAGGAATTTCTGCTTATTGACTCAACTGTCCATTTTTTATTACCTGCATGTTTGTTTACTTTTTTTGTTAGATGTAATGTAAGGTTCTCTTATCACATCCATTCCTTCTGACATTGTTTGAGTTAATTGAGGTTCTTTAAGCGTTAGCCTGGGGAAGGTAAGTCTCTATCTTCCATCAGACTTTTAACTAATAAATAATAATATATTTTAAAAACCTTAAGTTTAAAGAGGAATTAAAAGGAAGGAAGAAACTGAAAACCAATTGCGTGTTTCTCAGGTATGAACTAAAGCTGAAATTGTAATTTCATGGTGGCAAATTTTTCTCATCAGCTCTGCCGCTTCCCTCATCACCCCTCCCTTGCAAAAAAGGAAAAAATCCCTCCCAGAAGGTCTGGCTAAATCCGTAGGACCTTCGTCCAGGACCTCCTCAGCTGTGCTCGACGATGCCATTTTTTCCCGCTGGTGACCCGAGGCACCGGCGCCTTGGGTGGAGTGTGCAAATCCGTGGCGGGCGCAGTGCTGTGACCTCACAGAGCAAGCAGTAGAACTGCGAACCTGACGGGAGAGATCGTGCGCAGGCCTCCATGCCATCCCAAGTGCCCATGAAGTCAGGCCTCCCGGAGTGGCTTACTCCACTGTCCGTTGTACCTGAGAAACATTTACCATTCATTCCTAATTAGTGGCCATAAAAATAAGTTGGTAATTCTTTTTTAAAGTCTTTAGCCATAAGTCATAAGGTGCTAAGATAGAGTTTTTTAAGTGTCACATAAGGGTGTGTGAAGGGGTGACGGGTGGCACGCCAGCTCATGGCCTCCCTCTTCTGAGCACCTGCCCTCTTTGCTTAGGTGGAGGTGAAGCGGGCGGAGCCGCGAGATAGCAAGAGCCAGACGCCAGGACCCACCGGCACCAGCCAGTGGGGAAGCCGGATCGTGCCAAGTGCCGCCAATGGCTGGGCAGGACAGCCCCCACCTACCTGGCAGCAAGGATATGGACCTCAAGGTACCCGCCTTCCGGGCCACGCTGGGGTCTCGGGGGACTCCCGCTTGCCTCCGCGATGCCTCATCTTCTGCTGGGCTGCGAGGCCGTTCTGGGGCTCGTCTCAGGTCCTGCTGTGTCTCCCACTTGCCCCGTGGCCTGAGGACGGCTTGACCCTGGGATGAAGATCCTCCTCCCCCAGGAAGCGGGGAAATGCCTGTCCTTCCCGCCAACACCCAGTCGAGGAAGGCTGCTTGCCTCCCACCCAGGTGCTCCATGGAGGCTTTGAAAGGTGCAGGGTGTGGGGAAGAGGCTGCTGCATGTGGGGCAGCCCAGACTCGCCTCCAGGAGGTCCCAGGAGCAGCCCTGGCCTGGTCACACTCCGGGGCAGCAGGCAATAGGGAAGTTCTCCCCAGGAGCTGTACTGAGCAGCCCCTCCCACTGCGAACAGGCTCCCACGCTCTTGCTTGATGCCTGGCTGTGAAGCCTTCCAGCAGTGCCAGGCTCAGAGCAGAGGAGCTCGGCCCAGGCTCCTTCCCTTCTGTCCGAGGTGTCAGCTGGTGCCATCAGTGGGGGATCAGGTCGTCATCGTTCAGCTGCAAGCCACATGCTGAACCCACATTCAGTTTCTGGGGAGGAGAAAGTGACAGGGAATGGGGGCCGGGGCAGCAGCCCCTGCGCAGAGCAGAGAAGCAGTGTGTGCCACCTGGGTCCAAGCAGCCACGAGCTCTTGGAGCCATGCTCTTAGGGTTGAAGGGGGGTGGGGGATAGGTTGGATCATCGTCTTAGTTCCAGCCCAGCGCTTTCCCCAGACTTGATGTCAAATGCCAACACCTGCCTCTTGGATTCTCTTGGCGTTTTCACACCTGGGTGTTGAGATGTCTTGTTCCAGCACACGTCTGTCACGTGAATGGCTCTCCCACTGGACTCTGTTGCTTGATGTCCACACAGTTCTAATGAAACAGATGTAATAGGTTGACCTGTTCTTCTTTTCTGTGTGTCTCCCTGCCCCTTTTCTTCCCACCATTTAGGTATGTGGGTACCAGCTGGACAAGCACTCGGTAAGTGTGTAAAATGGTATTCAAGCTATCTTAGATCGGGGTGGGCAGGCTTCAGGCTTGGAGGATCTGCTTTGTGTTTTGCAAGAACCCCAAGGTCTAGCAGGGCCTGGTGCAAAGGGCATACACTTAGAACTGGGCGCATCTGAGGCTGGTATTTGTTCTGAGTGCCAGAACAGCAGAGAGCTTGGTTTTCTGCCCCCAGATGCTCTCCTGTTCAACTTAAGGTATTTTCCCCACTTTATCAGAGGAGGGTGGGCGTTAACCTTAATGTTCAAGTCACCTGCAGATGTACCAAGAGATCCAGAACTACCTTCCACTCACCCCCGCATTATTCTGAATATCGCAACCCTAATTAGTAAACCCAGCCCTTCACATAGGCTTGGTGTCTGTATGCATTTTGCCTCTTTCCACCAATGGATCACTTTCTGATTGGAATTTTGTAGTCATGGTGCCCCCTGAACAAGGAGCAATGGGGAAGGGTTCGAATGGAAGGGCTTTTATGAGGCCTGGCAGGGGCAACCTGGAACCTTTTCACAGGCAAGGAGGAAGGGAAGAGAGAACTAATTCTACCCAGTGAACGAACAGAGGCAAATGCACACTGTGCGGCCTTTTACAGCCGTTTCCACAGTGCAGCAACCAGAAACCTCCTGTTTGGAGGCTTGGCTCTCTCTGGGGGATCCATTGGATTTAAGACTGCACGTTTTCAGTTTCTTTACCAAGCTGTCTTAAAGTTCAGGCATGTGGCGGGCCAGTCAGTATTTTAAAGACCACCGGTTGCTTGGAAAGTAGCCCTCTCCACCCATGTCTGGACCACTAAATCCAGAGAAGAGCCTTGGAAACCCACTCTCTGAATGGCCTTTAGCTGCAGTTTTAGTATTTTATTGCACTAAGCTTAGAATTTTTAGCTTGCTGAAATAGCTGCAGTTTTATAAACCTTTCTTCTAATGAGAATCCAGTGTCACATATTAATTTGATGTACAATTATATTACATTGATGAAGCAAATGGAATTGCTAGTTTATGATAGTTCTAAAAACGTGGGCAAATTCATTTTCTTTTTTCCCCCTGGACACTTCTTCCTCTTAATGGGTAGACAGTTTTTTTTAAACAATTGTATGTATTCAGAGATGTTGGTGAGGCTCAGGAAATGACTTTAGAAACACGAGTTTGAGGAATGAAGGCGGACAGGCCATCTTGAGAGGTGCTAAAATAAAACCCTTACTAGATGGATGGGGCCTTCAGATTCTGTAGCTGAACATGGGAGAGAGAATGGGGTTAGTGTGCAGTATTTGGAAGGGTCCTTGGAATTGCCCTTGCAGAGTTGGCATCGATAACTCCAAAGATTTTCTCCCACTCCTCACACCCCAGGGCCTTTTCATATTTCACAGAGTCTCTCAGAGCAAGGGCCTAGTTGGTCTGCAGTTTTAAAACACCAGCGACACCATGTCTGTTTTTTGTTATTTGAGGATTGGAAAGACATGAATAAAACAGTGGCTCAGGGTGGCGATTTCTGTGTCAGAACGTGATAGCTGCTTGCTGGGAAACGCAGTCTCTGTGGCAGCGGTGCTGTCTTGCTGTACGGGCTCAGCCCCCTTGTCTCAGTCGCCTTCTCACTGACTCCTGTTGCCCTTCCCCAGGTGGGTATGGTCCGCCTCCTCCAGGTAGAGGTGCTCCACCGCCGCCACCACCTTTTACCTCGTACATTGTCTCAACACCTCCAGGAGGATTTGCACCCCCACAGGGCTTCCCACAGGGCTACGGCACCCCTCCACCCTTCAGTAAGTATCCGCAACCGTCCCAGACTGAACATGTTGCGGGTTGCGCTTGTGTCTTCCTCTTCCACCGAGGGCACGTGACACACCCTGTCTCGCTTCCCAGTTGTCCTCACAGTAACCCTCTGAGGTAGGTTTAGACCAAGAGAGTGGTGTTGGCCCGAAGTCACCATTGCAGAGATTGGAAGCAGGGCCTCTCTGGGGGCTGCACCGCACGGGCTCTGTGTTGCAGGCCCCTGCCCCTCACAGCTATGCGGGGGGTGGGTGGGGTTTGAGCCAAGAAGGAGGCTCCTGAGGCCTGTCACTCCTCTCCCAGGCATGGCCTTGGATGAAGCAGGCCTCTTCCCCATGCAGGCTTCTAGTGGTGCTCGAGTGATCGCCCCTTGTCTCCTTTGCCCCCCACTGCAGGCTTTGGATACGGTGCTCCACCTCCTCCACCCGACCAGTTTGCCCCTACTGGCGTTCCTCCACCACCTGCCACCCCTGGGGCAGCACCACTAGCTTTTCCCCCACCACCACCACCATCTCAGCCAACTCAGGACATGAGCAAGCCTCCGACCGGCCAGCCAGAATTCCCCTACAGTCAGTTTGGTAAGTGCCTGCCACGGGCAGTGTGCCCGGCAGCATCGTCTCTCCTCCCAGCTTCCCCCCTGCATTTATTTGCTTTCCCTTTTGGTTTGGAATAGCTCCTCCGGAAAACCAAACTGGGGTTTCACCTGCAAGGGACGGCTGGCAACGGGTCTCCAGAAACATCCCTTGCCGCCGTGACTGTGTTTCCAGCTAGCAAAAGGAGGCCCTGCCCAGGGCTTCTCAGGGCTGATTCCCCCCTTGACTGAGGGGAGCGGTGGCTGGAGGACCAGCACCTAGAAGAAGGCCGGTGCAGACAGAGCTGCCTCAGGAACATGGGAGCCCCTGTGAGAGGAGATGAGGGCAGGATCGGAGGGGTTTCTGGCAACTGCCCCCAGAGTGGCTGTCACCCTGGGCAGAGACCGAATTACTGGCTCGATGTGAATGGGCCTTTGTGTCTGAAAAGAACCATGAACAGTCACCCATATGAAACCTTTGGTGCAGGCATTAGAATTCAAACCGTTGCAGGGAAACTGAGCGTGCATACCTTGGTTCCTTGCAGATAGAAACACTGCAAAAACTGTGGTTTTGCTCACCTCCTTGGAATTCACAGGAAGGACTTTGTAGCTTCCAGCACCAGAGTCAGATGTCGTATGCCTTCTGGTTGAACTCGTTAGTGGCTGTGTTATGAACTTCATTGGCCTGGCTTCAGCATCCTCCAAGAGCCATTCTTTTGACACATGTGGCTCTTGCTTCACACACACTCCTTTTCCCATCAGCTGGTACCACATTTTGTCAAGTTCTGATATTTCAGCAGATTGAGGGATTCCTGTCTTAGCCTCTCGGCTCCTGAGTAGGTTTTCTGGGCTTGTACAGGTTCTGCAGATGGATGAGAGCAGGCGTGGTCAGGCTTTCTGCTCTGCTTGGCAGCTTGCTCGCGGAGAAGTTGTGCTGTCCCGTTCCTCGGCAAGAGCAGGACCTTGGAAGAAAAAGAGCTTGTGCCAAGTGGCTCACGGCACCGGGCCCCTTCATCAGGGCCCCGCAGCCCAGCAGTACTTCTCCATTTTAAAAAGTGCTGCCTGGAGAGGCACTGAAGGGGAAGCACAGCAACAGCTGACGGTGTGTAGTTTTCACCCAGAATCCTTAGACTTGCTGGAAGTGGGATAGGAAGGAAAGTAGCTTGAACATGTGCATCTCTGCTGTCTGCATGCCAAGTCTTGATCATTGGAGCCCAGGGCATGGACTGTGTGCCAACACCAAAGGGCCACGTGTGTCTCTGAATGCTTCTCTCCTCCCCTCCCTTTGGCGGTTGATTTGCGTACTGCCAGCCCATAGTTTCCCCCTCCGCCTCTCACCTGCTCAGTAGCATTCTTACGGTGAGAAGCTCTCTCCTTCCCAGATGTTCAGCTGAGGAACCAGCATGCGGGAGTCACCTGGAGAGGCACATCACGCTCTCCCCACCTTCTGGTCTCCCTGAGTGCTTAAGCAAGATTCTCCGTGCCAGTGGAGCACTGGCTGGGCCAAAGATTGGGGTTGGGTAGATAGTGTGTGTTTTGCCAAGGGCTGGCTGCAGCCCGAAGAGGCTCCTGAGCCCTCGTTTGGGAAATGTCCTGCTGTCTTTTGGCTATGGGATGCTTTGTGTCTCAGGGTTGTTCAGAAGAAACTCTTCTGTCAACAGACTTAATGGCTGTCCGAGGTGAGAAGTAGAGGGACAGATGTCTTTGGATTTTGCAGTGAAAAAAACCATCCAAGAGGTGGATGAGGGATCTTGTGCTCATGTCATAAATCTTGAGCAGTGCTGAGAGGTTCCTTGTGGAACTTGTCCAGTCAATAAGTGTCATTCTTGTCCTGCCTCTCTTTTTTTTGGTCAGACTGATATAACCATTCAGCTGGAAAGGGTCACTGCCTCCTGTCAAGGAGATGGACAGAGCACCCCGGCGAAGTCTCCCCTGCGGGAGTGCTGGGCTCCAATTTCTAGCATAGGCTGCAGGGAGCTGTGATTGGTAGCTTGGCACATCTGCAGGGCCCCAAGTCAGAGATGGCTGGTCCCTGCGGACTCTCCTCCCCACCCCGCTGTCATCGTCAAGGGGAGCCTTGGGGCCCTGGAAGAGGATTTGGTGGGAGGAAAAGCCCTGGCCCTGGAATGCCCTGCCTAGTTGTATGCTGCTTCGAGGCGTCGGGCACCCTTAGGTGCCCTTGAGCAAGCCAGCTCTGAGTGGCCACAGTTACGCGGAGAAAGAGCAGTGGGTGGGGTTCTCCTTTTATGCATTGGGTTTATATGCTGTGACCCTCCTGTTCTGCCCCATTGACTGCAGGCTGTTTTCCTTGTATGTTGAAATGGATCCCTTGGGAGTTTCTGTTGTCCGAGACGAGCAATTGTGCTATCCAGAGTGCTCCTTGAGTGAGGAAACTGAAACGTGGAGGAGGAGGAGAGGGGAGATACAGGAAGATAAAGTTGGGTTGCGATGCCTCCCCAGTGTGTCCTAAGAAACAAGCTTCCTCTCAGCTCACAAGATGGGCCAGTGGTCTTCTCATGGATCAGGCCAGGAGCGGAGAGGCCCAGTACAGAACCTCCCGGCACGCCACATACTACCGCACTCCCACGTTGATGACTGTATTTTGTAACTCCCGGAGGGTTCTTTCTTTACCACTGGCCAAGGTCTGGACCCACATAATGCAAAAGCAGCTCTGTCCCTCTCCCTGTTCTGCATGTTTTTCCCTTTTAAGATGCAGAGCTATTTTATCATCCTTCCAAGGGGGCTGGCCGAAATGACCCTGCTCGCCTTGGGCAGCATCTTCCAATTGCTGTCTTTCTTTTCAGCTAGGGGGACCCTAAGCAGCGGCTCATGGGTAAGTGTCCCTCGCTGCCCTCCCTGGAGCATTGTAGCATTTGTGCAGGGGCTCTCTTGGGGGTTTAGTCACCCGGGTCTCCTCCATTTCTTACCAGGGCTGGGTACCTATGGTCAAGACCCAAGGGGCTTCGGGCCAATACTTTGTTTACACATATATGGTCAGGCTGAAAAGTGATTGCGTAGGTAGGTGGACCCTATTTACACCAAATCCTCTTGCTTTGTGGTCTCTTGCACGGGGGGGTGGGGGGAGAAGCGACCTCCTTTTCCCTGCAGTGTCATTGGCTTCCCAGATGTGTCTGTGGGGGGTCTCCCTAGCACGAGGAACTCCTCCCTGCTCTGGTCCCAATGACTCCACTGCCTTGGTCACCCCTCGGCACCAAATTCTTAGCGTGTTCACACAAGCAGCACTGGTGGCATTGTGCTCCCGAGTCATTCTGGTGTAAGACCTTCTGCTCTGTTTGTCAGCACTCTGCATGTGGGGCAGGATCTACTCCCCGGCCCGGCCCGGCCTGCGAGGATGCCTGGGGGTTGCTTCCTCTTCAGCTTGCTGGAGGGGCAGTTCTCTTCACTGTGCTGGTTGAGGCCCTCTGAGAAAACTGGAACCGCACAGCTCAGAAAACGTTTCAACAGACGGTTCCAGACATAGATAGTTCTCTTAAAATGGGGAGTCAGTTTGCTTCCTCTGCATCAAGAAAGAACACAGCGGGTGTGAAATCGGAGTACCTCTTTGCATGCTTGCAGCAACTGATAATTTCCCCATTGCTTTACCCAACCACTTGTTGGTCCTGGTTTTTAAATAACTAAATAAACGAGTTCTGATCACGCGAGGACGATCGTGCATTGGGTTAAAACAGCACCGTGCCCCGGGATAAGCACTGAAATTGTCTCCTCCTTCTCCATACCCATTTGAGAAAAGGACTGCCGCAAACCAGGCATGGCTGGTTTTACCTTGGCATTGTTCGAGGCTGTCCGAAGATGCTAGGGCGAGATCTGACCCTCCACCAGCATGGCCTGTGCCCCTTGAGACCTCGCGTGCCAGAAGCAGTCGCTTCCGCTACTGGCACGCCGGCCGCAGTGGAGCTGCATTGTCTGTCCAAGGGCGCGGCCCCAGCTTCAGCTTGACCTTAACCCAGGAATGTTCCCTTGGCAGCTGTGATGGGGACAGCCCAGAGCTCCTTGGGAAACTTCCCACGTTGCATGGAGGTGCCAAGTTCATCCAGAGAGATGAGACCCATTACAGGAGCCCCCTTCGGTCTCCCCAGCGGCCTGCCAGCTGGCCCAACCGCAGCCTGTGTGTTCCAGCAGCCTCCTGCTAGCCAAGGAGCAGGTGATGGGAGAGCAGAGCTGGTGGAAGCAGGCAGTTCTGGGTGGAGTTCTCATCCGGCTTTTCTGTCTTCAGTGCACTACCACTTACGCGGACGGGGGATGCTGGGAGTGGTGATCGAGTACAACTGTCGGGCACCCATTTGGGGAAGGCTTCTTTGCACTTACTGTTCGGACTTCTCTGGTGTCAAACTGCACAGGGCGACAGGAACCCACCTTCATCTCCTGCAACAGCCTTTCTCTCTCTCTCCCCGTTCTAGGATACGGACAAGACTTAAGTGGATTTGGACAAGGCTTCACCGATCCCAGCCAGCAGCCGCCCTCCTATGGAGGCCCCTCAGTACCACCCTCCAGCGGGCCGCCTGCCGGGAGCAGTGGTTTTGGCCGTGGACAGAACCATAATGTTCAAGGTTTCCACCCTTACCGCCGCTAGCATGTCCACCTAGAAATCAGGGAGTTCTGTCCAGAGCAGGATATCTGGTATCAGCTGAAATCCAGGAATCCCAGACTTAATGAACTTGTGACAATCACCTACTTTGCCGGGGGGTGGGGGGGACCACAAATGTAACATCTTTTGGGGGGGGTTGTTGGGATAGGATGAGGCAGCCGCTTTTCGATGCAAAACTGGGTGGTGTTTGGACTGCAGTTTTTATTTTTTCCCCTTTCTTTAACCCATCAGCACAAATAAAAAGTGTGTCACTGGTTCAAACTACAGGGTTATAAAAACGTCTTCAGCTTTAATTAAAAAAAACCTTCAGGTTTCTTTCTCTATATTTTTGTTGGAAATTTATTTTTTTTCCTGAGCCTTTGTTTTACCATATATTGTAAACTTTATGTTTAAAGAAGAAGAAAAAATATATACATTTACAGATTGTGAGATTTTTAAGAGAAATTTTCTACTATGTATGCTGGCTTATTTTTTAATTTAAAAGAAAAAAAACAGGGTTTCCATTAGCACTGCTTAGAAGTGAGGGTCAGCTCCAAACCTTTTTTTGTTTTGTTTTTGTTTTGTTTTTTTTGTTAGTGTGGTTGGACCAGAAACTCTGGGAGTTTAAAAACAGAAGAAAGCGGGAAAAAGAAAGGAATCTACTGTGTGTGCAGGTCATTGTATTGTTCATTTCTGGGTTGATAGGAGCAGAATTGTTTGGAAGGCACCATGTCACTTCTTCTGAAGCACAGTGTTTCAGTCTGAGCTTCCAGTTCTTTAAAGAAAAATGCTTTGGGGACATGGGTTAATGGATGCCTTGCAAAGATGTAGATTTCCCTCAGGCGAAAAAAAAAATAATTTTGGAGGTGCATTTTGCACTAACCAGTGATTACCCCTGGTTTGAATAAAGAGAAGTACATTTGGATTAGAAACACAAACCTGTCTCCACTTTTTTCTTCTCTACCATCTCCAGATGCTTGGATTGCACACAGTACTTCTACCAGCTGCACTTCCAGCGGTAGTGTTCACACTGGCCCCCCTGCCTGCACGAGCCAGTGCGTTTCACTCCCAGCTTGAAAGCTTTTCAGCCTGCGCCGGTGTGGTCCGAATCCTATTTCTGAGCCTGCGCCGTACTCTCAGCAGCAGGCTTCCCCAGCTGGGTGCGCTGCAGCCGTGCTGGACTACGACTCCCAGGATCCCCTGGCCAGCATGAGATGCTGGGAGTTGTAGTCCAGCACAGCTGGAGGGCACCAGTTGGGAAAGGCTGCTGTATTTCCACAAAAGCATGCACACGCACATGTGCCGGCATTTGCTGCTTCCTCGCAAACCTTTTTGAACCTTGCGCGTCGGAGGGAGGCGGCATGATGATCTGGATTCTTTTTTGAATTCCCTGGCTCGTCACTGGCCTCCTCCCCACCTCATTTTAATGATCTTGGTTTGGTGGTAACAAAGAATTTCTGCTTTAAACCTTTGCGGTTTTTTGATTTTCTGGGCTCGGGTTATCCCTGAGGAGTCTGCCAGGTGGCAGGGGACGGCTCCCCTCCCCAGGCGTTTGAACCTTTGCAGCCTGAAGCAGATGTGAGCTGCGGGAAAAAGCAGTGCACCGAACAGTCGGGATAATTGGCCATGAAGTGGAAATGGCCGGCTCACGCTCAGTGCCCCACAGATGCCTTGGGCTGTGTCTGCCATCATCCCCAGCCAGTACGGCCAGTGGATGGTGGGAGTTACAGGCCAGTGCAACTGAGAAGCGTGCTGGGTTTGAGAGGCCTTGGTCTGCCAAAAGAGGTAAATGAGCGAGTTGTTGAAGGAGAGAAGACAGACAACCCTGCGGACTGGAGCGTTCCGTTAAAAGGTTGGTTGTTTTTTAAGGTTTCTAGCCTCCATGTTTGACAAAAGCTTGAGGCACAGTTGAAATGTTCAGAAATGAAAGCTCAGACTATAAAAAGACCAGTTAGCTCTCGCCCCTTGGCGTGCTTTGCATCCACATATCCCGCCCCAGCCACTTCTGGCCGCTTCCTTGAGTCATCATTTCCTTGGACCTGGGAAGAAAGCTTGCTCCCTCCCTGCCAATGCCTAGGCTAGCTGCTGCTTTCCCAGGGATGGCAGCCGTGGAATATGGGTGGCCTCGCAGATGCGGCTGGGCTGCAGCTCGCAGACATCCTTCACCACTGGCTGAGGCTGCTGGGCAGTGTGGTCTCCACAGCAACTGGGCCAGAGCTGCACGTTCTTCAGCCGTGTCAGACAAACAGCCAACAGCCACGGCTGCTGGGGGTCTGTCTGTGGGGCTGGGGGTGCAAACAGCATTTCCGGGCATTTTCAGTGGACACACCAGGAGGCCACTGACCTTGATGCTGGATCTTCTCTCACAGTCTCACGGGATACGATGAGCGAAGTTCCTACTGGGTGTCTCTCTTGTGCTTTAAAGGGCAGCACAAGTTTTATCAGTAGATGATCCTGGGGTGAGCCGCTGTCATCTGTGCATAGGGCCTGGGGGTGGAAACTGGCTCTCCCAGTTTCTTCTAATTATGGCAAAGCATTCTGTGCCCCCTTTTCTGCAGCACGTTCAGAAAATAAAACTAATCCATTAAAAATGCAGGAAGGGTGGCTGGAGAATGCTGGAAGCCATAGGGCCTTTTTCTTCACTAAACCAGTGCAAGATTGTGGCCAGAAACATTCAGACATTAAAAACCATGATGGTTTAAAAAGCCACATTAAAAAGTGCTGGGCTGAACACACCAGAGAAAGCCTTTCCCGTATGCCTGGCATGGGAGCCCACACAAAGCTCCCGGTGAGGTTTGGTGACTCGAATCCAGGCATCTTGGGTCTCCTGAGAGCTCGGCTCCTCCACCCTGGCCCTTGAAATTGCCCCGTTACCACGTGAGTGTTAATTACCACTTGAGCCCCACATCGGGGCGATGGACGCCCTCACAAAGCATAAATTCAGTAGTGCCAACGCACTGATGTTGCCCTGCATGTGCCATCACTCAGAGTTACAGCGCTGGTGCCCCCAGGTGTATGTAGGCCTGCTATTCCCATCATTCACAGTCACCGTGGGCATCACATGCCTGGAGAGCACGGGTTTGGGAAGGCTAATCTAATACAAGACATGGTACACAAGGAAGAAGGGAAGGGGAGGGAAGAGGAAAACGTAGCTTCCCCACACGGTTGGAGGAACGGCCCTGCTGTTCTCGCATCGCAGCCTGCCAGGTAGACTCCTGTGAGGGCGTGTGTCGCGTATGGCTGACGAGTACTCTTGCCAAAGGCCTGGAAATGCAGCTCTCTCACCAGCCCATTCATTTACTCAGCCTGCGTCGCCTTTCAAAAGCTCCGCATGCGCATATGCTACTTCGCCAGCGTTATGGGCGGAAGTAGCAGGGACTTGGCTTATGCCCCGCCCCGGAGTTTCCGGTGACCCTCGAGGTACTGAACGCCGCCCTCGCGAGAGTTCGTCCTTTTCCCGGAGAGCACCGCGGCCAAGATGGTGGGTCTTCCTGGGGTAGTCTTTCCTTAGGATGGTAGAATCCGGATCCATCCGGCTGCGGAGAAGCGGATCGGGGTCTTTGGACTCTGCTGCTGGGGAAGTGGACCGGGGGTGGTTTTGACGGGGGGGTTTCGGGGGCGGGGGGCGGGCTGAGGGGCGGCAAGGTGGGCCTTGCGCCTCTGCAGGGCTCTTTGTATTGTGGGTTGCTCATTTTTCCAAACCTTTTTTGCAAACTTCGAACCTGCGGAGGGTCGCGCCCGTTAAAAGAGCAGTTCCTCGGAGCATGGCCAGAGTATCAAATGAAAGTTGGCCGTCAGTCCATATTTTACAGCCTGCACTTTTAAAGTCTGTTTTCGGATACTGGGAGGATGAGAGCAGACATTAGAAGCACTCCTGAACATGTGAAAAATGCAAAATTTCACGCCTTCTTTCCAAGCGTGCTTCTCTGTTTCCAGATGGGTGGAAGGCCATTAAAAGTAGCACTTCTGAATATGAGCAGAGAGTAAGCCTTCACCTGTAATAGGAGTACTAAAAGAAATTCGCTTGGGCAGGAGGTACTTGCAAAAGCTTAACCAGGCTTTCTGGACTGTATAAGCCTGAAAGTAAATTTGAGGGGTGGCAGGGGATTTGAGGGATAAGATGGGCTGAGGGTGATTTGGGTTGAGGGGAGATGGTAGTGGCAGATGGGGCAGTTGAAGATGTACTGAGAACCACACAGGAGGAGGAGGGTGGAGATACCTACATTATGTGGTATTGCTGTGTGGTTTTGCTCAGGTGACTGGATGGGAGAGGCCATGCTTCTCCAACCTTGTATCCTCCAGGTCTGGGTTACAGTTCTAGCTGGGTATTGTAGTCCAACATCTGGAGGACACCAGCATTTGTGGGGGGGGGGGGGCATTTATGAAGCCTGGGATGAGCAAGCGATTTGATATTCCCAAATGGCCATTTCTGTAAGCACATTGTGTATATCTTCTTCCTGAACAGGCAGAAGTGGAGCAAAAGAAAAAGCGCACCTTCAGGAAGTTCACCTACCGTGGCGTGGACCTGGATCAGCTCCTTGACATGTCCTAGTAAGGCATTTTCCATATGACTGCCCCTCCTGATCCCTCTAAATTCCCCAGCACCATCGTTGTGGTTGGCCCCCTTGCAGCCATTCCCAAAGCAGGGACTTAGAATAATTCTGCAGGAGCCTGCCTGGATCAAACCATGGTGGATTTTTGAATATGTTTGTGGGTCTTACATTTAGAAAGTTGTGTCAATAGTGGGGTGGAGTGGCTGTGAAGACACTGGAAAGCTGACACTGCACCATTTCTCTAATAAGAACATGTTACTCTCTGGAGGAAGGGGCTTTTTGGCAAACTGGTTTGACTACCTAGTTCAGGTGCAGTCTTACACATGTTTAAGCAGCAAAAGTCAAATAATTCCCAGAATGCCTCAGCCATACTGACAGAACAATGCTGGGAATTGTAGAACTCCCCTCACCTAAACATGCATAGAATTGCACTCCGAAAATTTTTTTTTAATCTCATTCATCAGCCGAAACCTCCTAGTTTACAGAGTTGTATCCTTGGTAAGTTTTCTTAGTTGTTCACCTGCTTGAACCTTTGTGAATTTAAGTTAAGCTTTAATGCATTTTGTGCCCTGCTTTGTATTTTCAGAATGCAAGGAGCAGTTGTAAATAAATATATTTGCAGGGTGGGAGATCGCTCATAGTAAGAGCTGGGTTTGGGGAGAGCTGGAGCAGCTCTTTGCAAGGAAACGCTCGCCCTCTGGGCTTGTTTAACTTCAAGGGGAGGGAAAGTGAGGGGAGATGTGATGGAGATGCACAGACATGCATAGTGCAGAAGTGGGGAGGGAGTTGCCGTTGCCCTTCCCTGTGGGCCAAATGCTGAGAATTTAGGCCAAGAAGATGGAAGGGCTCCTTCCCAGAGTTGAAACTCAGTTGCTGCAAGATGCGATCAGCACCAGCTGCTGCCACAAGTCCGGCATCTTGGCAGGGCGCTGGACTGTGTGGGCCTGGGTCGCATCCTGAAGAGCTCCTCTCAGGGCTGCCCCCCATGCGCGGGACCCCCGGCTAGTGTCCCACCCTGGCTCCCAGTTCTGGCTGCTGGCTGCAGAGGCAGGCATGTGCTAATACGACCCCTTCCCTCGCTCTTCCCAGCGAGCAGCTGATGCAGCTGTACAGCGCCCGCCAGCGCCGGCGGCTGAACCGCGGTCTGCGTCGCAAGCAGCACTCTCTCCTGAAGCGCCTCCGGAAGGCCAAGAAGGAAGCGCCGCCCATGGAGAAGCCCGAGGTGGTCAAGACCCACCTGCGTGACATGCTCATTCTCCCCGAGATGGTGGGCAGCATGGTGGGCGTGTACAACGGGAAGACCTTCAACCAGGTGGAGATCAAGGTGCGTGGCTGGGGGCCGGCGGCAGAGCAAGCTGCTTTAGGCGTGAGCCTGTTGTGGAGTGACCCATGGGACGCCTTTCAGGGATGGGCTGTTTCCTGCTTCCGGCTGTAGCTCCTGCATGAAGGGGGTGGCAACGCCTCCTCTCATTTCTAAGATTTTGAACCTGCCTCTTCATATGATTGCTTATCTCTCTTCTAAGCCGAAGCTTTCTGGGCTTGTTGGCCTCTCAAGAGGGTGCTCAGCATTGCAGGAGTGCAAACTGCATGCAGTCATGACAGGGGTAGGTTAACAACCTTTCAGAAGCAGGAACAGACTTGGATAAACATGATTTTATGTGTTTAAAGCCAGCAGTGATGAGGCCTCAGGGAGACAGTCCTGAAGGTGTGGGGCTATCGCTGAGAAAGCCCCTGGTCCTGGTACCCACCAGCCCCCGAGAAAGAGCGGAGCTTCTGCTGTTTGTTCTCCTTTAGTAATGGGGCCCCAAATCAATTTTTAGAGTTTTGAATGAATTATTTCAGCATGACTGGGAGCTCTCTGCATGCTCTGTTTTTCTGCTGATGTTCAGTACAGACTATGGTTGTCATCAGCAGGCCGACTTTGTCTCTGGCTTTCTCGAAAGATCTGTCTGTATTCTCCTTCTGATATAATAGTTTTATTTCTTTTACTGACTGTGTCTCTTTTTTGTCTCTCTCCATCCCTGAAACAATTCTCTTGCAGCCTGAAATGATTGGCCACTACTTAGGAGAATTTTCCATCACCTACAAGCCCGTGAAACATGGCCGGCCAGGTATTGGGGCCACCCACTCATCTCGGTTCATTCCTCTGAAGTAAACTTGGGGCTTTGGAAGATGATTTTTGTGTGCGAATAAAAAAGTCTTCCAAAAACTGAGTTGGTCTGCTTATTTGCTATTTAGTTCTCAAATGTATTGTGTACTGTACTTGGCTTGGCTCGTGGCTCTCTGGCTGTCTAGTTTGATCCCCAGAGTAGATCCCACAAGCCCAAAGTCTGCCTGCCGCTGTTTGAAAGGCAGAAAAAGACGTGAGCTGGTCAGTTGCTTTTGTATGGATGGATGGATGCAGCTGTATTTCTAGCACCTTCCATACAATCTAGTGTGGAAAGCCAGGACATCCCAGCTAAGAAGAGGCCGAATGCCTCTTTCAAATCGGCCTGCCGGACGGTGCAGAGCAGCACCTTGGAACAAGAGTCTGGAGGAGGGCAGTGGCAGGAAGGCTCCCTCCAGAAGGATCTTGGCCATAAGGCAGATAACTCCTGTCCATGCCACCAGCGGCCTTCCCCTGGCGGTCGGATGGGCAAGAGAAGAAGGCACAGGCCAGGCTGTGGATTCTGATGGCAGCCACGGGGGTGAGAGGGCGAGGCGAGCAACTACTCTTGCTCCGGGGCTCTGCGTTCCCGTTCACTGGAAACGGAAAGGATGCTTGCTTTGAGTGCTTGGTGCTGTCCTCCGATCCAAACAGCCCAAATTGCTATGCCCTTGGGATGGATCGTGGAAACCAAAAACGCTACAAAAAGAACCGAGGGTATGCTTGGCGGAATTGAGATCAGAGTTAGAGGGGAGAGCTGGTTTCATGTCCACAGCTGGACCAGGACCTCACTGGGCTGGCCTGAGTCTACCTTGCAGGGTTGTTCAGAGGATAGAATGGACAGGAGGGCCCTGTAAAGATTCCTCATGAGAGGGAGGGGAAATGTTACCTTTATACCCCAATCAAAAATACTATGTTCAACATGAAAATATTTTAAAAATGGAGGTGAAGGGTTTAGACAGTGGGGAGAAACAGTCCTACAATTGCCAGTAATTCTGGCTGGGGAATACTAAGAATTCTAGGGCTGTTCCTGTGGAACGGGAAGAGGGTTGGAGTCCTGCACGTGCGACATTTGAGGAAAGGGTTTGCATTAAAAATCGAACAGCCGCTGGAAGGGAAATGCACACTCCTTGAAGATCTCGGAGGATCCGCAGACCACAGGGATGGCAAGATTACGTCCCTACAAAGTGGGAAGAAGCTAAAGGTCCCCCAGGTGCAAAAGAAATACGGTAATTTTTGTCAGCACTACTTGCCAAGCAGATCTGGGTGAGCCAGCGGCCTTATTCCACAAGTGCTGGCCCTCCTTTCCTGCTAGCCACATCCTTTCCTATGCAGGCTGGGGCTGATGGGAACCGTAAGTTAGAACATCCAGCGGGCCATCAGTCACTCGCCCCGGAAGCAGAGGGTTCAGGCTGCCCGAAGTTGGACCCAAGAGGAAAGCCAAGTCCTGAAATGTTTAGAGCAAGACAGCCACTCTGATCTCACCTGGGGAGCACCCCTTTTGGGGTGGGGAGCTGTTGCAGGGTTTAAGTACTGCTATACGAAGGCTGCGGGGGGGGGGGGGTCTCCCAGCGTGGACTGTGCTGTAGAATGACACTTTCCAATCAGGTGTTCAAGGATAGGCTGGACGTGCACATGGTGGGCATGTCGTGAGCAGAGCCGGCTGCAGCTGGGGGTCAGACTAGATGGCCCGGGAGACCCCTTCTGACTTGCTCTGCTTCTGTGTTCCTCTGAGTGGAGAGGGCTGGAGCCGGGGGTCAGACTAGATGGCCCGGGAGACCCCTTCTGACTCGCTCTGCGTCTATGTTTCTCCAAGTGGAGAGGGCTGCAGCTGGGGTCAGACTAGATGGCCCGGGAGACCCCTTCTGACTCGCTCTGTTTCTGTGTTTCCATGAGTAGCATTGCAAAGACCAGGAAACATCTGTTGTGTTTTGACATAAATAAAGCAGTGTGAATGCAGTTAGGGTGTGCTTGGGGTGGAGGGAAAGGGGACGGGGTGGATTTATTTTTAAAGTAAGAGTTTCAGGGAGAGGCTTGAAGCAAGATGTCTGGACCACTGGTCCATGGACTGGCCTAACTCGCCCACGACGGCTGGCAGTCATTTTGTGCTGTTTTCATTTAGTTTGGTTGTCCAAATGTTGCAGATATGACCTTTGCTGCCATGTGCGCTGGCAGCCTCCAACCAACCATTATTTCCACTTGCCGCATCCTGTTCCTGTGCGTTTCTGTTTCTCCTCCTCTGTAAATCTGGCAGCATTCTAGTCCTCATTGAAACGCTGTTGGTGGGGGCACATCCTTCCCTTTCCCCCTCTTTTAGGACCCTTTTCCCCCTAAAGATGGTTTTGTACTTCTGCAACTTTTGGGGTCTCCCCCAAGTTCCCAGATATGCCTTCTTCCAGCAAACTCTGAACATGAGAAATAAAATGATCTTGGAAGACAGAAGTGTGCTAGGAAAGGGTTTCTATTCAGAATCACCTCCTGCCCGAGAGCAGAGGATGAGAAAATCCACTCCCACCACGGTTCTTTATTGCACCTAAAATGGCTTCCAACATGATCTCTCATTTTCTAGTTACATAAAGCATTTGTAAGGTGCTGTTCTGTTAAAACACTCTTGGCTGCTTGTGACAAATACTACAGATGAGTAGAATACAAAAGGCACAGTATTAAAAGAAAGAAAAACTAGTAGGACTCTGTGGTCAGTTGGGTGGGCACTCTGTCCATGCTTAGTGGCTCTCTTGTTTTTTATTATCTGGGAATGAACTACAAGTGGAAGGGATAAGCCCCAGGTGCTCTAAATGGTTTAGGACGGGCTATCAAAGAGGCTGATGAGTATCACGAATCTTGCCTGAGTATTAAGGTTTGGAAAAGAGGTTCTTTTGGGATAGTGTTTCCCATAGAGGGGGGCTTGGCAGACATTCTACATTTCCCCCTTCAGGAATTATGGTTGCCTCTCTTTCAGTTTCACGCTTTGAATTTTTTTTTGTTTTGAAAGCTATAGTGGGGAAAGTCCTAGAAAATATGTGAAAAAGGAGACAGATTTCGATTTAGAGAGCATTCCTCCTGGCTGGGGAACTCTGGAGTCAATATTTGCATCAGGTCCTGCCTTAAAGGATTCAGTATTTTTAATGCCCCAAGGTTTTATTGCTTGAAATACTTGCACACCCCCTGAACAGTGCTGGCTGCTGCTGCGATTTATATACCGCTTCCCTTATTTTAAAATATAACAGCCAGCGGGCCTAGTGGTTAGAATGCTACGTGGGACTGAGAAAACCAGGGATTCTAGTCCCCAGCTGACTACACAGTTCACTGGGAAACTCTGGTCCTGACACTGATGCTTGGAGTAACCTACCTTGCAGGGATGTTGTGAGCCTAAAGGATGCGGAGGAAGAACCTTTAAGCTTGCATTCCTTGCGAAAGGAAAAAATAAGTGGCATGCATGCCACGGAGGCAGAGACCTGTAAGGAGTCTGTGAGGCATCGTGGTTTAATTGGTGGACCGGGCATCGGGTCACTCAGCTAGAAAGCTCACTGTGTGATCCAGAGCCCGTCACAGACTCTCAGCCTAACCTACCTCTCAGGGTTGTTGTTGTGGGGATGAAGAGGAGAAGAGGAGACCCCTGTAAGCAGCCTTAGTTTACTTGCAAGAGGGGGAAAAGTGGTATACAAGCACCACGTAATGACAATATTACTAATAGCGGTGGTATTAAGTAGTGGTGGTAACTGAACATGGAAGTACGGTGTCTTAAAATGGAGCCAGTGCAAAAGAGGACGGAGAACTCAGAGCAGCCTTGGAAGGGCCGGTCTGTACCTGATGCAGACGGATTTATCACGTGTGTGTCAGGGATTGCTTGCGGATGTCTATAGAGCACCGTACCCTGCAACGCAGACCTCCTCCAGCACCCCACCCCCTGGCAACCGAATCCCTGGCTCTCTCCCGTCCTCTAGTGCTGGGAAGTGGCACCGAGCATCTCGCTGCTCCCTCCCAGCCAAAGCCAAGCCCATCCCGCCGAGGGAGGCCGAGCCAGCGAAGGCTGCCGAAGGATGCAGCCTACATGGGATTGCTCTGGATTCTCTCGTTCCTCCACTCTACCTTCTTTGGGGATGAGGTAAACCGGGTTTTCCTTGGCTTGTTCGGTGCGGCCCAAGGGGAACCTCTCAGCCGAGCCGTGGGGACCGGCTGGTCGGAAGCACAGCGCTTCGCTCTGCCTGACGAGGGTCCGTGGCTGAGGATGCCAGCCAGCCTCTGTGTCCTTTTCGGGGCACCCTGAACAGAATATTAAGCAGGAGCTGCTGCACCGCATCTTTGGGGTTTGGGGCTGCAGGAAAGGGGACCAGGAGCCGGGCAGGGAGAAGCGTCTGGGGAACGCAAGGCGGTGACGGAGTAAGCATTTTAATTGTGCAGGGATGGGCTTGCCATCTAGAGAGGGTGTTTTCTGGCACTGCGGAGTCACTTCTGCTCCGTTTCACGTCTGCCGTGGATGTGTGTGTGTGGATCCGTGAGACAGATTCTCCCCCTAAAGGGTGGTGGTTTGGTAACGGTTCTGCTTCGTTTGGCTAGTGATGGAAAGGGAGACCAGAAGCACTGCTGGGCATCTCTGGATGCAAATGACTGGGTGAGTCTGGAGGGGTGGGGATTTGATGTGGGTCCAAGCCAGAGAAGCGCCATCTTTTTTCCTCTCACACAGCCCCACTGGGTTGGAAGGGCTCGGCCAGTCGTGGAAGTCTCTGGGAGGGGCAGGCAGACTCTGAAAGGTGCGATTCTGAGACACTGGCAAAACACCACTTATCCTAATAATCAGGTCCTTGGGCCCAACCCAAGAGGCGCAGCCCAGCTTGCCTGGGGACTTTTCTTCCCAGCAAGAACTGGCCAGATGCCTGCAGGGAAAGCTCACCATGCAGAATGTCTGTTTTTCTGAGATAGACTGCACCTCCACTTAGAGGACCCACCGAAACGCTGCCCAGGGACTCTGAATTAACAGAATTCAGAGCTCAGGTCAGCTCTGTTCTCCATGTGGCAACAGTAATATCGATATTAATACACAGTACTAATTATGCCAAGAGTGGACAT